GCCTCAAGTTGCACCAGGGGAGGCTGAGATTGGATATTAGGAAAAATTTCTTCACTGAAAGAGTTGTCAAGCATTGGAACAGGCTGCCTAGGGCAGTGGTCGAGTCCCCACCCCTGGAGGTATTTAAAAGAGGGGTAGATGTGGTGCTTAGGGACGTGGTTTAGTGGTGGACTTGGCAGTGCTAGGTTAACAGTTGGACTTGATGTTAAAGCTCTTTTCCAACCTAAAAGATTCTATAATTCTATGATTCTATGATTTGTTGAATTTTCCTTCTGGCTCCTCAGGAGCTGGAGACAAGCTCTGGTAGTGATCAGGAGGTAGGAAATGGGCTGGTGACAGGAGCCACCCAATCATGGTACCCAGTACATTGGGCACAGGTAGGTGCCTTCAGGTTAATCTTTCTGGAGTCTCACTTATGGCATAGGAAGATGGCTCCACTAACTCTCAATTCAGAATAGTCTTCAAGCAGGAGGTACGTGCCAGTCTTCTCTCCAAGAATCTGGATTCTTGTCCTTGTTCCCTGGCCTATTAATGCATTTTATATTAACTTCTAATAGGTTAAAATCTGAAATATTCATTGAGGCAGGGCCAGAAACTGGACTACAGGACTCCCAGCAAGTCATGCTTTTTCTGTATTTGTGGATGAAGGCACAAACTCCCTCCTGAGAGTTACGTTGTGTTTACTGGATCTAAGACTACTCAAGATGAAGAGGAAACTGAGCACACATCTCCCTTTCAACGGACAAGTGTTTTCTGCTAGCCTAGTAGATAAAAAAACAGGTGTTACTGCCACCTTTTGCTGCCAGGCTTTGTAAAGAAAGTAACTGTTGTTCTCTTCCTTTCATAATACAGTTGGTGGTTGTTGGGTGTGTGCTGTGATTAACAGAGGCATTGCGTCTTCAAGGAGACTTCACATAGTTTATGTTTCCCACTGGCTTAGAAAGGATTTGGAGGCCAGATGCCAAGTCATGATGGTTCTCTGTGTATGTGCACAGAACCATGGGACTTGGATCCGGGTGTTTTAAAAGATTAAAGACAGAAAATGAGAGAACTCAAACTTCGTGGTTAGAACACTGTCTTTGAAGTCTGATGTTTAAACTGATTTATGATGCATGTTGGCTGTAATCTTTTTCTCAATAGTGAAAACAATCAAATCGTAGTTTTGTGTGAATTTGCGTAGCTGAAAAAAGCAAGTTGAAAGCACCTCATGAGGACCACGATAAAATGCAGATGTGATTTCATCATCTGGATGCAAGGCACTGCCAATGTCTTTGCTGTGAAATGCCCAGGGACTTTTCAAAGTGAGGTTCCAGTGAATTACAGTTTGGGAATATTGTCACATACATAAATATTCACAACGCCACATTTCTTTGTGTTTCCCAATGCTAATGAAACGGTGACAAGCAAAGCAGACATATACCTGACATGCCAAGAAGAGAGCTGAGAGGGACAGCTGGTGCTATTCCTGCCTCTCGACAAGATCTGTGGGGACCTAGAAATACAGTCAATTCATTTCTAATATCTTCAGTGGCCTCATCTCTAGATGATGTCAGAATGTGCTTAACACGGGTACACCATCCACTTCAGGCCCACATAAACCAGTCAAGAGCAGCTGTAAGAAACCAACTGATAAACAAACAAACAAAGAAGCACAGCGTATTCAGGTGACCGAGTTGCCTCCCCGTTGCACAGAACCCACAGTCACACCATTTCCCAGGAGGGCAGGAGACCTGGGTTCAACCCCATCCTCAAACCGAGGTGCCAGAACCTTCTCTCTTCCACAGCAGGGCCCACCGACCAGCACTGGGGCATTTGTACCCTGCAAGAAGCAAGGAGAAAGAAGGAGAATTCAGCCCAGATCTCCCTCAGGTACAGCCCAGGAAGGCTTGCAGATGCTGACAAGGCTTTGGTCATGGCTTGAATGTCACAATGGCTCCAGGGCTGAACCAGCTCCTAGCTGGAGATAGCAGGGCAGGGAGAGCAAATGCAGTTTCTAGCATGTGGGACGTTCTGCACAGTGCTTTGAAATTAGGAAACAACATATGCTCGGCTGGTGGGACTCCCCACTTCACAACCTTTTTTCTTTGAAAGCTCTTTCTCAGTTTGCCTCCTCAGCCTCCATTTCCCTCTACTTAGAACAGGATCCATCTCCTGCTCTAGCTGTGCTTGCCTGTCTTTTTTGCTCACAAATTCAATGTAGAATAATTATTTATTGTGACAGGTAGGCTGTCCTCAGTAATGCAAAGACAAACATGTCCTGGTCTGTCTGTGTATTCCTCTGTCTTCCAAACATTTACTGAGACGGGAAGTGATTCAAACAATTTTGTAGAATCACAGAGTAATTTGGGTTGGAAAGGCCCTCTGACACTCATCTCATCCAGGCCCTGCTCAGAGAAGGGCTGGTGTGGGTGGTAGGCCAGGTTGCTCAGGGCTTTGTCCAGCTGAGTTTGGAGTACCTCTAAGGACGGGGACTCAAGAGCCTCTGGGCAACCTGTTACAGTGTTTGACTTCCTTCATCGTGTTTTTTTCCCCCTCAGAATTGGCAAGGTTTTGGTAGCGGGGCTGCAGGGGTGGCTTCTGTGAGTAGAGGCCAGGGATTGCCCTGAGTCGGTCACAGCCGGTTCCAGCGGGCTCAAAAACAGACCCACCGCAGGGCACGGCTGAGCCCACCCTCAGGGGGAGTCTTGGCACCTCTGTGAAAACGTCTTAAAGTAAGAGTGGTAAACACTGAGCAAAAGGAGAAGCAAGGCAGAGCAGGAGGAGAAGGAGGAAGAGACCAGGCTGGAGCAGGAAGGAGGAAAGAGAGAAGACCATGACTGGGCAGGGGCTGGACCCAAGTCACTGCTTGAGCAGGAGCTGAGAGGTGCAACCCAAAAGGGGCTGCTGCTGGTGAAGGAACCACCATGCGCCTACTGGCCTCAGTCTCCTGCGCCACCCGCTGCCTCACCACAGGCGCTGAGCAGAGTGTGTGGTGAGGCGACTGAAGAGCAAAAAGGGTGGAGGAAAAGACATGTCTGGAAGGAAGCAGGGGTGTTGTTTTTCCTAAGGATTGGTTGCTTGGTTTCTGTCTTCTTTGATGCCATAACCTGTAATATATTGTTAATTGGCAAATAAATCACATTCATGGAAATTTCCTGAATGAGTAAACAGTTTTTGCCCATGACAATGTCTTACTGGAATTTCTCTTGATACAACGTGAGACTGTTGGTCCTTGCCCTTTTGAGGACAAGGATATTTTTACTTTCAAATTCTCAGACAGAGCTGGGATGGCTTATTTCTGCCCCTCTCTTTGGAACGCCAGGACAGAGGGCCATTTCTGTATCCAGGCTGCCCATGAAAAGTGCTTTGCCAATTGTTGAGATGCACTAGACCCTGGAATAAAAAAAGTGACATCAAGAAGTCTTTTATCCCATTCCTTCCACCATAAGGCAGCATCAGGTATGCCTGTGCCATTTCTGAAGGAAATTTGACTAACCTGTTCTTTACAGTGCCCACCATAGTACCTGACAATGACAGGGAAGTTCTGTCCTGTCCTGTCCTATCCTATCCTATCCTATCCTATCCTATCCTATCCTATCCTATCCTATCCTATCCTATCCTATCCTATCCTATCCTGTTCTGTTCTGTTCTGTCCTGTCCTATCCTATCCTATCCTATCCTATCCTATCCTATCCTATCCTATCCTATTCTTTCCCTCCATCTGGATGAGGCAGGAGTGCTTTGTGGGCTGCCTAGCTACTGCCTGTTTGCATGCATGCCTGGCTGAAACAATAGGACTTCCCTACCTCTGCTAGGCAGTGACAGTCCATGGCCCCGAGGTTACATGACTGCAGATGATGTGGGAAACGCAGCACTTCAAAACCCCTGTATCCAAAGCAAGCAGTCTAGTTGTCAAGCTACGGGCTATCAGTTGGGAGGTGTGGCCCTCTGTGCCCTCACTAGCTAGTGGGCAAGAAAGAATTGCATTTCATGGGCCCTTCAGGAAGTTGCCTACAAAGGAACGATGGGCATGGCCTGGTGATGAGGGCAACCAGCTAGGAGGTGAATTCCTGGTTTCCTCCAGGGTGGCTTATCAGTTTAGAATATACAATTCCAAAGAAAACCCAGAAGTTATTCTGGCACCAGAACCTGGGACTAACAGATGCTTATTCATGTTGAAGTTCTGCTCTTCCTTGCTTTGGGAGCGCACAGTGACTCTGTGAATTTGCCATCCGCTGAGCGCTGGCACGATGAGTGGCTGCTGCTCCTCTGCTTGATGATAAGACTGGTATTTGCTGTGAATATGGTAACCTTAGGCATTATGTAGGAGGGGGCAACATCAACGGAGAGGCAGCCGTGTTGTGCAAAAAGCTGTCGCTGCCTTACATGATGTCTCCGATCTGTCAATAAGTGTTAGGCATGTTCTGAGGCCATCTTGGTGTGAGGCTCTTCAGGAGTTTCTATGTTCATTTGAGTTTTCTATTTTTAGCAAGAATGAAGTTGCGTGTTTTAACTGGCTGGGTGATATGCTGTTTCTATTGTACATTATAGCGATGGACAGAATTTCAACTTATCAATGTAGGATACCAGACAGTCAAGGTGAGCTGCCAGATTTTATTACTCTAGCTCCAGGAATATTTCTTTTCAAGCTGACATAAAGAAAAAATTCCTATCTCCACTGTGATTTCAGAATCATGGGGTTATCTGTGAGGACTGCTCTAAATTATACTTTTATAACCCTGGCGTGCTATGAGTACAATGTAATGTGAGGCTGCTGAAGAACCTGATGAATTTTTGTACTTTCACTTCCTTATAAGCGTTGCATAACATTTCACTTTCCTTAATGCATATAAATTATTTCACAACTTACTTCTATGAAAACAGTAAAAAGTTTGCCTCTTTAGTCAGTGTCTTATAGACTTAATAAGGAGTATGTTATCTTTGTAGGCTGCTTTTTTATTACATATATGTTTATAAGCTGCTTCTTAAAATGGTCAGTCAGGTCTTGAAGATCTTCAGGAACTGTAAATGCATGTCATTTATGGAGAAAAACTGCAGAGTGAAACTACAGTGCCTTTCTCTTACCCTTGCTTTGATCAGCCAATGTCCGCCTGGGCTTTGTTTGTAGTTTTTTTAGTTTTTTGAAACACTAACTTATTATTTTGAATATTTATGTATCAGAGAATACTGATCTGAGCACAAACTAAACTTTGATTCAGCAGAGCTGAGATACACAACAAAGATATCGAAGGGGCTACCGTGAGCATTTATTCTGTTATCCATATAAGGGATGGCCTTTCATAACCCTCCACATTTTATTTTCGGGAAGGTAATTTTACACTTCCCTGAGATGGAAGGTTTCTGCCCACCACACAACCAACGTAATCATTGCCCTTCTGCACCAGTGTTTCTGTGCCAACAGGATGTTAGAGAATTTATCTCCTTATGTCAATCCAGGGTCTCCTGCCGTTTATTGACTATGGGTGTGCCGATTAGAGTAGTATCTTCTGTTGCTGTTGCACACACAGAAGTCTGCTTGCATGGCTTTATCTGTGCCTATGCCTACATATTTTTATCAACGTGCGGATTTAAACTTTTTTGGGGAGCCAGGATATTTGCAGAAATCTCAGTACCCGGTTAACCTGCTTTATATACAATATACCAGAAACCCATAGAGAATTTCACCTTCTTGAATTCCTGTAACTTGGAGAGCACTTGTAAGTCCTCCTGAATTGAACCCCTGTTTGAACTTATCCTCTGGAGCATTTATTTTCAAACTTAGGTTAAGGAAGATCCCTAAGCAGTATTGGATTTCAAACCCAAAGTCTTCCTGGGTCTCTTGTGCCCACTGCTCCTTTTTAGCCTCAATAAATATGTGTAAATTTATTCTCTTGGAAATATTGTGGTGCAGCTCTGTCTCCCGTCACAGCATCTCATAGTAACTGGCTGTTGGCTACAAGGTGTAGGTGGTGTGTTTGGCATAAGCACAGGATTTTCAGCTCAGCTCAGAACATCAGCAGATAGAACGACCACATCAAGTACAAAGCCACTTTACAAATCTCAGTGTTTGATCTGTTTGTTTTTATCTCCCTTTCCCCTGTATTTTCTGCCTCCCGTCTCCTAAAACGCTTCTGGTAATTAAGTAGCAACAGAGAACTTGTGTGCTTCAAATCAAGGATTTCTGTCTGATGTTCTATGTGCTTTCTTTTCTCTTTAAGAGAGGAAGTACATTTTCTAGGTATTTTTCAGTATCAGTTTTGTTTTGTGGTACACCGAGAATGGAGAGGTTTTGTATGGTTCCTGTTTATAAAATAACTGTCTCACAGGAGCACTCTGAGTGTGAAACAGTTGATATTTTAACATTAGCTAAAGTTCCTGTTGTAAGGCAAACTTCCTGTTCCACTCTTTACCTGACATGCAGTGATAGTGAGAAAGGAGAGCTGAAGATAAGCTAACGTCAAGAAGCAACCATAAATGTCCTGCCATCACCTACTATGGGAAGTCACATGGACAACTAAATAAGAACTGACTAGGTGATTTGTACTCTGCCTGAAGCATACGTCCCAGAGACAGCAAGGCCAGGAACTTCACCAAAGCGCCTCCAGTTTGAAACCTTAGCCCTTGCGCAGATTTTGAGTGAGAGGCACAGCCACAAGGAAAGAGTCGGTGTGGGCCCTGAGCGCATCCCGCCCAGGGGTTTGGCTGCCACAGAATGCGCTGGCAGAGCTGACGCCGACCCCATTCCTCGGGGAGGAGGGGAGAGGCTCCCAGAGGGGCTGTGTGGAGGCTGTGGCCAGGGTCCACCCCCAGACTGTGGAAACTGCCTGCGCCTGGCCATGGCTCCTGACCTGGGTCTGGACCGCGCCTGTGGGCCGATGGCCTGGCCTTGGCCCGTCCCCATCCCCACGGCCATGCCTGCTGCCAGGGGCTGGGGCTGCCCCCACTGCCCCCTGGGCTGCCCTGCTCCCTGGCTGGGGCAGCGGGACAGGCCCCAGCCGCCTGCAGGGAAGGCTATTGCCATGTCACTTCTCTGGAGAAAATAAACTTGACAAAGGCCTTTACTTCTCCTCTGATGGCCAGATGAAAACTGTCAAAAAACATTTTCTATGCAACAGAAATTCCATTTCCAATCAGCTCAATTCCTGAGCATTTATTCGAGTTTTCATACTGAAGTTTTCTGGACTTGGCCATGTCACTTTGGTTTGCCCCTCCTGAGAGAAAGGAGAAGCTCTTGCCTCTGGAGAAGCATTAGCAGTGTTTGTGATGTACCAGGGTTGAAAAAAATGAAAAGCCAGAGACAAATATTATGGCCACAGTATCTTGGCTGGCTGTACTGGGTCTGGCTGTGATGGAGTTAACTTTTCTCATAGTAGCCCATATAGCGCTGTGCTTTGCGTTTGTGGCTAGAATGGTGTTGATAACTCACCAGTGTTTTGGCTATTGCTTAGCAGTGCTCACACAGCATCAAGGCTGTCTCTCCAACCCTCCCTCCAGAGGCCAGTAGGCTCGGGGTAGGCAAGAGGCTGGGAGGGGACATAGGTGGGACAGCTGACCCAAAATGACCAAAGGGATGTTCCGTACCATATGACATCATGCTTAGCAATAAAAGCTAAGAGAAAGGAGAAGGGAGGGGACAATCATTATTAAGAGATTTGTCTTCTGAAGCAACCACTACACGTACTGAGGCCCTGCTTCCCAGGAAGTGGCTGGACATTGCTTGCTGGTGGGAAATAGGGAATAGATCTTCTTTGCTATGCTTTGCTTCTGTGTGTGATGTTTGGTTTTTTTCCATTAAACTGCCTTTATCTCAACCCATGAGATTTTTTTCATCTTATTTTCTCCCCATCCTGCTGAGGAGGGGGAGTGAGAGAGTGGCTTGATGGGCATCTGGAAGCCAGCCAAGGTTAACCCACTGTACTCACTTTTACGAAAAGGAAAACCTTGGAAATGGAACCCAGAACATGAAGAGGCAGTCAAAACCCTAATACAGGAATTAAAAACATATCAGTCACTGGGGCCCGTACACCCCTGCAACCCTGTTATAGCAGAATGGTGTTTTGCAGAACATGGTACTTACTGCAATCTATTACAGACCAGACCAAGCAGGCCAAAAAGACCTTTAATGTTTAGTTCGACCACATTTAAAGAGACAGAACAGAGATATTCTGAATGGGAAAAGGGACTTTTATCTTTAGTCCGAGCAGTTAATAATTTGAGCCACTAAGGAGTAACTCGTCCAGAAAAACCCTGCTGAGACTTGTATTGTTTTCCCTTTCCAGGAATGATACCGGGAATAATACCAGCACACCTCCCCTAGAGACTGTGTCAACCATCGAAGGATTGCTTATCCTTCTCGCAGGAGTAATCATTGCCAGCATGAACTAAATTCGGTTCATAAGTCAACAAGCTTGACCCACAGCGTGGACACCCTCACTTATTTACGCTAATCAATGTTGTTACTATAGTACATTGTGCACCATACATGTTTCTCAGTTGTGGGTGTCATCTACTGTAACAGCAATTATAAGGGAAGGCGATGAGGGCACCTTGCCCACTGAAATTCGAAAGGTAATTTGGGATAATGCCACTTAATTTGAAAAGGATTTCCAATCTTGGTAGTATTTAGTTAATTTCACTTACAACCCCACCAACAGAAAAGCCACAGCTTTTGTTTTGACAATATGCAATGCTTCAGTATCCACCATATACTCAGTCATTGCGCTGGGATTAAATCACAGTGGAACTGTCCTCTATCCGTTAGAACATAGACTATGGGCCCAACAAAACGGGGGCAAATGGCAAACTGTCGATGTTGATGCATGTGTTGTAC